GGGGGGGGGGGGGGGGGGGGGGGGGGGGGGGGGGGGCGAGCCCGATTCTGTTACGACCGAGGTCGCCTCGTTACACCCATCCCCCCAGTCACTCACTCACCCACCCACCTGCATGCATGCGCAGGCAGCCAGACACACACACACATACATACATACATATGCACACAATGAATGAATGAATGGATGGATGGGTGGCTGGTCAGACGTATGATGGTCGTTCATGAGCCCCTGGTCGTCCAGATTGAAGATGAGGGCGTTGACACTCATCGACACGATCCCTGAAGCAAGGAAAAAGTGAAAACAATCCTCAAACGGATGCACCTCCCTCCCTCCCTCTCTCTCTCACCAGTGAAGAGGAGAATACGCGCTATGGTTGGGTAGTTGTGTAGCCTCCACCATGGCGGCAAGAACTCTATCTCGCTCTCGAGGAGGATGAGCCAGGCTGCACTCCATCTCTGATGTCCCCACAGAGAACCGAAGCGATAACGCCCACAACGACCACAGAGGATACCTGCACACCGACCAAACCAGAACCAAAGCACCCCTGTGTGCCTGTGGCATCCATCCATTGCTTTGCAACCCACCCGCAGATGGCCCCCAGGTTGCCGAGGGGGTAAATGATGGTCGGCCCCTCCCCTGATGGCAGCGTGAGCCAGTCAATGGTCGTCACCAGGGAGTAGACGAACCAGAAGATGTACACGACAGTCACCATCAGCATCCCCGCCTCGTTTGCCACGAGTGTCGACGCCAGCTCCACAATCTCCACCAGCACCGACACGTAGGCCATCATGATCAGCCCCGCGCCACCTGGTCCTTCGTCAGTTGCCGCCAGGAGCTCTTCCGCAGCTCGCTCGGCACAATGCCTGCCAGCCACTCATTCTTGGAGTGCCCGGAGGTGGAGCACCGACTCTTCTTCTGGACACGCTTGAGCCTGCAGTAAGACGAGTAGGCATCGACCTCGGCAGCACACACTGCAACACAGACATTGCACCCACCGCCATTTATTCATTGTGCTGCATGGTCGGTGATGACATACCTGCATTGAACTGTTTCCTCCGCTCCTCTGCCTGCGCCTTGCGGTCCTGCCCGGAGATGATGGGGCCTTGTGTGAGTGCTGATGCTGGTCACTTCTGCATCGCGGGCGGGCTGATTGCGGTGCGTCCAGCTGCATAGCCAGGGGCTCGATAGAGGCGCTCGTGTGGCGGAGGCCGTCGTCCTTCATGATGGCGGGGGAAGGAAGCGAATGGCGATCTTTGGCTCAAACCCCAACCCTTCACCCCAACCCTAACCCTTGAGTTGGAGATCCCATGGAACAGCTGGCTTTCATCCATGGCATGAAGTTGATCGGCCCTGCGTAGAGAGGGCAAGATGGGCAACAACCACACTGCGGACCGCCATGGTGCCGTTATCGACGAACACACGCTGGATTTTCTTCACAAAGACGACAGAGATGCCCTCCACACGTATGCAAACCACACAGAAATGACATGAGGGAGGGAGAGCGGCAATTGACAGCTGTGTGTGTCTGTGTGTGTTGGCTATCTGTGTGTGTGTGCAGCCGGTCGGAGGTCGGCAGCCTCAGAGCCACGGCGCACTTCCTCTAGGAAGTCGACTTCTCGGCCGCCGTCCTGAGCAACCGACTCAATCGCTGCCTGGCGGCCAAGGGACTGCACGCCATCATCGCCTTCGACGCTCAGCTTGACCGGCCTCTGCTGCTGAAGGCCATCTGGCTGGTGGACACGCAGCAGTGGACCGAGGTGACCAATGCGCTGAAATTGGCGGTGCAGAGGGGCTACTGTCAGCTGCCCATCACACTGGCTGTGGCCGACCTGCAGCGGCACGATAGCAAACAGGTGGGCAGATGAGCGCGGGGCGGGTGGGTGGGTGGCACTCATCGGTCTGTCTGTCTGTCTGTCTGTCTGTGTAGGCGTATTTGGCGGATGTGCGTGTGATTGCGTTGTGGAAGATGGTCGGCAGACACGTCAACTTCGGCGGCAGCTACGGCCGTTTTGAGCTGTTCGACCAGCCGGGCGGCGGTGTGCGTGCCATCAAGGACGAGCCGGGCTTTGAGCTGGACATCAACCCCCCCCTCCCCCCCGCCCACCCATACCACACTCACATCATCGACGACAACCCGCCCGTTCAGATCCTCAATCCATCGGCAGGGGACAGCAGGACGGCCGGTGGTGAGGTGCGCACTCTTGCCTCGACGTCGGCGTTCATCATGGATACCATCATGATCCCTCCATTGGCCAATGAAGGGTGGACGCCGACGCCTTGCGTTGCCGTGAACCGGTACGCAGGAAACACCACAATCAGACAGACACACAACGACCCATGACGGCCGCTTCCCTCTGTTTTCTTCAGGCATGCCCACGGTGGTGTGCTGGACGGCCTCCTGACCCACTCGCCCCACCAGCCCCCCAACCGATGCACCGCCGTCGTGGCGAGTAGGTTGGACGATAGGGATCTCCCTGTAGGGATTCGGCATCTGCTGCTGACGCCTTTCGAAAGCCCATTCGTCGCATCGATCGTTCTGGTCGCAAACGCCAATACGACCATGGGTGAGGAGCGGATAAGAGATCCTTTGCTGATTGATCTATTGTTGACGTGTGCTGTATCGCTGAGTGCAGTGGGTGTGGGTGTCGGCACCACCGAGCCGCCAGTGGGAGATCCATCGGATGCCTTCAAGGACCGCCGGCCCACCACCGCGACTGTGGTGCGCGGCCCCCTGAGGGATGCCATAGCAAACATGGTGGTCAACCAGAAAGAGGCAACTAGGCAATAAAGGTGGGTGAGTGTCGGGGTGAAATGGGTGCTCCATCGATCTCTCTGTGTTGGGTGTGTGTGTGTGTTGTGGGTGCTGTGCTCTATGTAGGTGGGCGAGGTGAGGTGACGCGACGCCTGGTGGGAAGGGACTGGTGAATGGGGGAGGGAGGGTATGAACGACACGGGTGTGAGGGTAGTCTGGGCATACACACATATACACATGTGTGTGCCTCAGTTGATTGGCCTGTGAGTCCATGGTGGCTGGCGTGGCGTGTGGTGTGAGGGCGACAGGGGGACTCTAGCTGGTGCATGATGCATGCATGGATTGACACGTCGGTCGATGGACACTTCATATATGTGTATAGATGAACCATTGCATGCAGGTATGTTCGACAGACAGCACCGCCCACGGATCGCATCAATGAGGCGACGGCGGTTGTACGATAGACAGAATAGGTTCTGCACAGCTTTCATTGACCCCCACACATGGTAGGGTATGGACCCTAAACCCTGACAAGATTTGGGGTTTCAGCTCGCAATTCACGAAGTGGCTCCTCCCTCGCCGTAGCAGCCATGGCGAAGTCAAAGAACCACACCAACCATAATCAGGTGAGAAAAAAGCGAGATCCGAGAGGAATCTGCCACCATCTCGTTTTGTGCCCGCGCGTGCCGCTCATCAGAACAAGAAAGATCACAAGAACGGCATCCACAAGGCCAAGCGCCAAAAGAAGATGTCCACAAAGGGGGTGAGGCACGCACAAACACACGACACCCCACGACAGGAGAGATCCGGTTTCAACTCGGCCTACAGTCGCTGTTGCCTCACTCACTGGTGTTGTCATGCGCTGTGTCAGATGTGTCCCAAGTTCCTTCGCAATCAGCGGTTTGCGAAGAAGGGGATGCTACAAAAGGCGGAAGGTGCGCTGACCACACACTCTCACATCACACACGGGACATAGAGGGCCTTCCTTTGCCACACTTGCCGGCGAGGTGCTGCCTGTGTATGGATGCATCAGGGAAGGGTGACGACTGAGCAGCTGTAGGCGGCTCTGCGGTGGAGGGGATGGGGGATGCGCCTTCGTGACTTGTGATGTGATACATACGACTGTTTATGCTCTCACCGAAAGTGCTTTGGACCTTCAACGTCGTCTTGTGACGTGAAGCTTGGCGCCGCAAAGCAGAGTACGGCACACGACAGATGAATGTCATCACCACACACGACAAGTAGTGACTCTCTACTCCCACCACGCACTGACCAGAAATTCTCCCTCTCATCAGCAGGCAGGCACCTCACGCACAGGCACTGCACGCATCTCAATCTTCCCCCATGCACATGGACGAGTGGGTCGGGGACGGATGTCTCCCAATAGGGGTGATGAAAAAGACAGACAGACAGTCAGACATGTGGCGTGACGCACCCTCACACGGCCACCAGATGAACGGCCCAAAGCAAGGATGAGCATCGCATCGCACAACAGTCAGTTGGACCATCAGTCACGTGATGTCCCCTGGTATAAGCTGTGTTCCCCGCCTCTGCCCCCCGTCAGCTCGCCAACACATGGCGAACTGCCGAACTCAACCGTAGCTGATGAGTGCGGTAGACCTTCATGTGTGGAAGGGCACAACGAGAGGCGCGAGGGGGAGAGAACAGCGGGAACAAGCGACACCGCTGTACAGAATCGGGATCAGTGAGCGGAGTCAGCCAATCCGTTACCCCATCGTCTCATCCCATTAGTGTGTCGCTCATGCTCCGGGGAGTGAGCCCACAACAACAATCAGCACAACAGAGCAGCAACTCACCACACGACAGCCACGCATCCCCAAGACAGATAGAGAGGTAGATAGAAGCAAGGCAGGCGGGCGGGCAGCAAGTTGACAGGCACGTGGCTAATGCCATCATCACAGCTATGAATGTCTTCTCCCCTCTTCGCAGTAGTGAGTGAGTCATTCCATTTAAACCGCAGCAAGTGCGCTGTGACAGCCAGCCAGCCAGCCAGCCAACCGTGAGGCGGCGTCTTCGTCTGTCCCGGCTATGTCGGTCCCATCTGTGTATGTGCTCTCGCAAACAGAGCGGCCGACGCAAAAACTATGTTCCCGAGACATGGATGCATGTCTATGCACGCAGCAGCATTGGTCCTTATCGTTATCCATTCGCCCATCTCACAGACACACACACACACACACAGAGTCGGCCCGCGGCTATAGCGCTCGCAGGGAAAAAGAGCCCCTCATCATGGATGAAAAAGAGCCACGGCCAACATCCATGACACACAGCAGCGACACACACACACACACACTCAGAGATAATTGATCCTCCCTCCCCATGTCAGTTCACCCAGTGTGTGCACGACCGCACACATGGTCATCCACTCAAAACTCATCACGACCGCATGGCCTCTCGTCAGCCCCTTGCTAGTTAGTAGTTAGTGCCCCTCCCGCCGCCTTTCCTGGGAGGCCGCACGGTGATGCGTTTGGCGTGGCTGTGAGCCACTCCACCTCTATCTCCTCCTGAAGGTGACAATCGTCCATCCAATCCAAACCCTCGTCGCCATCGCTCTCCCCATCTTCCTCGTCATCAGACAACTCGGCCTCGTCCATCCCACGGCTGTAGTGCCGCCACCGCCCACCATTATTGCTCGATGACATACTTGGAGGGATGTCGGACGGCAGCTCGGGAGGGGCACAGGCACTGATGACCGGACTCGGCATGGTCGCAATCTCTGTGGGGAGGGGGGAGCGAGGAAGGCCACCAGCGAGGACGGCTGAGAGGCCGGGGTCACTGAGCGAGCGACGCTTGACCTCTAAGCGAGACAGTGGTGCGGGCGCAGAGTGCTGGGGAGGTGGGCCATGAGCCGGCCCTTCCTGCGGGGGGTCTGGTTTGTCCGTCGTCTGGCCCTCATTGCCCTCCAAGCTGTACCAGTGGCCCTGGAGGGCGGGAACAGGATCAATCCCCTCTTCCAGCAGACGCCTCAGCGACGGCCGGCCAGCCAATTGTGGGACATCACGAACCGACACGGGCACTGTGGCGGGCGTCCAGACACCGCCGCCCTCCTCCTGGCAGCAAGAGCGGGAGGCGGTCGGTGCGGCTGGTATCGCCTGGCTGGAAGGGGGCTGGATGGCTGGCTGTTGCTGTGCAGCCTCGGCGGCTGCTCTCTCGGCTGCGAGTCGCTCTCGCTCCTCGTATTGTAGGAGTGTTCTCGAGATGATCTCGTGCCGCAGCTGGACCTTGAGCAGCTGCAGCCGCCTATCGAATTCGTACTCGACTCTGTTGCGCTCAGCCTAAAATGACGCACGAACACAGAAACACCACACCTCGCGTTGACGCGCATGTGGATGTCTGTTGTGTCTGTCTTTCGACACCTCTTGTCTGGCCTGGGTGATGGCGACTTCGAATTCGTAGCTCCGCAGTGAGATGAGGCAGATGGTCAGCATCGTCTTGGCGCCACTGTCCATGAAGGTGTACGCCAGCTGCTCCGCCCAGCCGGGCAGAGCACCCACGTGGGCCAGGTGGAACCACACGCCGTATAGCCCCCACCAAATCACGTTAAAATACAATAGAAAGCGACGTACAGGGGCTGCAGACAAGAAACCACACATCAAACGTTACACGTGAGTATATATGCTGGCATTGGGACAGACAGGGTCTTCTGTGCTTTCCTTTCTTACCCGATCGTCCGTCTGCGCCGATAGTTGTTCGTTCGGCGGTCTGTCCGTTCATGTCGGCCACCATGGCCCCCGTGGTGGGCGAGATGATGCCCAGCCCACCAGCCAGCAGCGTCCACCCAAACATGACCTGCTGCCACGCCCGCATTTGCGGCCGACGGACGTCAGGATAATGAGTCACCACCGGCTCCTGCAGCCCATCTGGAGGGGCGTCCCGCTCAGCACTCTGGCTGCTGTCGGTCCTGGGCCGCCTCTGACGCAGCTCTGTGGATGACGACATGTCCGACGGCCGCCTTGAAGAGCTGGAGGGCGATGATGGGTGGAGGGCATTCGGTCGCCTAGCCCGTGTGTAGGTGTATGTGTCGCCCGTGTGCTGGTATCTGAGAAACTGGAGCATTAGCCACGAGGCGGCGAAGTAGCCAATGTAGCTAAGAGCCTCCAAACCCCACCGAAGCAACCAGTGGCTGCTCACAGCCGACCTGTAACACAACACACGAGTATGAGGAGCTCAGCTCAGCTTACGCAAATGCGCTTCTCTGTGTGTGTTTTCTTTCTTACCAGAGCCCCGCCTGCATGTACATTCCAGTGATGATCATGGCGGGCAGGACGTGCCGCATGGGCACCTCAAACACATAACGGCCGGACAGATACACCAGCATCGGGGCAGCCACAGTCCACTCCATAAAACGAGCGCTGTACACCGCCCGACCTGATCGACAAACACGACACACAAACACGACAGCAGACAGAGAATGAATCAGTAACCAGCCATCCGTTCTCTCAATCAGCCACACTGCCTGACTAGTGTGCCTTCTCTACCAGTCACTGGGTCGATGTGGACGGGCAGTAGGTCCCTCGAGAGTAGGATGTAGGAGCACAGGATGACTCCCTCGACGGTGCACATGATGAGCGACACCTTGAGCTTGAAGTGCTGGTGACGGTGACCCCTAAACTTGAGCAGATTCAACACCGAAAACAACATCGGAAAGAACTGACACACACACATCCAAAGAAGCAGATAAGATATCGTCCCGCCGTGTGTGTCTGTGCCGTGTCACTGCGTGTGTGAGTGGTCCGCACCTCGACAAAGAGGACAGTGCCGAGCACCCAGCAGGCCACCTCGTAGTAGGCCAACTCCACACGGTCCTCCACAGTGGGGTAGCGTGGTATCGGCAGCACCCACAACAGACATAGCGACAAAATCCACAGCAGGATGTAGCTCAACAGCAGCACGGCATCCTGCAAGAGCTTCAGATGGCTGTTCTGCAGCTCCCGCAGCACTGGGAGTTCGAACGCCAACGGCTTGAATACACTCGAAAACATCATCCAATTCACCCACGGATGCCCAAAGCTCGCAAGTGGCCTAGGGTGCTGCGAAACAGAAAGGTCGAACTGCTCTGACAATGTAAGCACAGCAGGTGGAACAGATGTAGAGGGAGGATCCGCATGAAGAAACTCATGATTTTGATGGTTTTCCGTGCTTGCGTGTCAGGCCGAAGGCAGAGAACAAGAAGCGCGTGAATGCGTCCCTGCGTCACAATCCCCTCCACTCGGACCTTCTCCAGGACGAGTCCACCCGCCATCTGCGCGTCCAGCCCCGCGACAAGGCCAGCAAGAGGCACCAGCGACAGGCGCCTGAGCAGGAGGAAGATGTGCCCGTCAAGCTGTCGGACAAGCTCCTCAAGATAGCCCGTGAGCAGAAGGACGACGAGGACGAGCAAGATGGGGAGGATGAATGGGTCGATGAGGACGACGACGAGGCGGACATGGCGGATGCGGGCGACCAAGAGGAAGACGCCCCCGCTGCTGCTGCTGCTGCATCAGCTGGCGTCGACAGGGAGAGCCTGTCCAAAGGCAAGAGGGCGCGGGTGCGGCGGCTGGAGCAGACGCTGCAGAAGCTCAAGCAGAAGGAGAGGGAGAAGCAGCAGCCACGCATCAAAGGAGCCAGTGAGGTCAGGTTCGACGACACGGCATCGGTGGCCCGCGATGCGGACGGCTACGTGATGGGCGATGCCGTCACCGAGGAGGAGGAGCGGGCCATGCAGGTGTTCCTCCCCGCACCTGGACGCGATGACACCGACACTGAGCCACGCACCCTAGCAGAGCTCATCTTGCAGAAGATCAGGGAGAAGGAGATCGAGCGATTCGGCCATGCTGTCGACGATCCGGCTGCCAACAAAGACAGGCCGGCACCGCCGGAAGGGACGATGATGAATGCGGCTGCGTTGATGGAGACCCCCTCTGGCATCCCGCCCAAGGCCGTGGAGGTCTACACGGCGATCGGCAAGTGGATGAGCCAGTACAAGTCTGGGAAGCTTCCGAAGGCGTTCAAGGTGATACCTCGTCTCAAGGCGTGGGAGGAGTTCATCTACCTGACGGACCCCGTCAACTGGTCGCCCAGCGCCATGTTCGCCGCCACCAAGATCTTCGCCTCCAACATGACGCCGGCCATGGCCCAGCGCTTCTACAACCTGGTGCTGCTGCCGGCCGTCAGGGAGGACATACAGGCCAACAGGCGACTCAACTTCCACTACTACGAGGCGCTCAAAAAGGTCACAAATGCCAAATGTACCAGAGAGGGAAGGGGATAAGCGAATCTCGTCGCATTCCTGGCTTGCTGTGTGTCTGTGTGTTGTGCAGGCTGTGTTCAAGCCAGCAGCGTGGTTCAAGGGCATCTTGTTGCCGCTCGCACAGGACGTAAGCACAAGCGCCGGCAAAGCAAGTGGCACAGGCGCCGGCCACCCAGTCACACCATCCTTTATGTCTGTTTACTCGGTGGTGTAGAACTGCACACTTCGCGAGGCGGTGATAGTTGGGAGCATTTTGGCCAAGGTGACGATGCCCGTCATCCACTCTGCCGCTGCCCTCACACTCTTGTGCCGCATGAGGCCATGGTAGGCAGTTCATTTGACGCATAGGGACTGATGGATGGCTTTTTTGCGTGTGTGTGCGTGTTGTGTCAGGTACGGCACGACGAGCTATTTCATCACGGTGCTGCTCAACAAGAAGTACGCCCTGCCCTACAAGGCGCTGGATGAGGTGGTGGACCACTTCCATTCCTTCGTCGGCGACACTCGCACCCTCCCCGTGCTGTGGCACAGATCGCTTCTCGTCTTCGCGCAGAGATACAAATGTGAGCTACGACAAACATGGGAGAAGCCAAACTGTGTGAGAGTGTGTGTGTGTGTGTGTGGAAGTGTTGGCTCTGTGTGCGACAGGTGAGTTGGAGGACCACCACCGTGAGAAGCTCAAGCAAGTGATGCGGGCACACACACACTATCAGGTCCGGCGAGTGAAGATGACATCATTGAAAGTGTCGTCGTTGGAGTGTTGCACGATGCCTGTTGTCTGTCAGATCACTCCTGAGGTTCGCCGAGAGTTGTCGAGCGCGGTGCAGGGCGAGAATGACATGGACATTGAATGATGAGAGTGAATCGTGAATGTGCCTTGAGTGTGATCGACTGACTCTGTCTGAATATAGCGTGCAGATTCGATTGACTGTTATTCGATCCATCCAGCACACCGTATCTGCACGCTCACATCAGTCTGAACCTCCCTGTCTATCCGAATCCCCCTAGATCCCTCCTCGAGTGCCGCACTGTGCTCGTCATTTTTCAATATGTGTGAGCTTCGATCAAACGTCTGCATGAATGTGTATGATATCTGTGTACGGAGGATCGAAGATCGAGGCTTGTTGACCGGCATTGACTTTGACTGTCTTGCACAGCAAGCGCATTGTTCTGCAAAGCAATGTGGGTCTGCATGGGCAAGTCAATTGCAATGCTCGTGCTGCTGCTGTCATGCCTGGTCACCTTGATCGCCTCCACGGCGAGGCTGCGGGTGATCGCGCTGCATACTGGTGACGGTCTCGTCGAGAAACCGGCCACCATCGTCAGTCAGCCACTCAGAGGAGACACGACAGTCAGTGATTCATTCATTGAGTGTCTGTTTGCGTGTCTCGATGCCTGCACATTTGCAGGGAGTGATGCCAGCGTTGAAGACTGCCGTTGACGAAGACACGCACTTCCCCGTCAACTCGCCGAGACACCCAAAGCACCACAAACATGTCAAACCACACCCGTGAGGGACCAGCTACAACAAACGGAGACACAAGTTGCCATCACTCACAGTGTCCGTGTCTGTGTCAGTCGTGCGCCGTCGAGCGAAGCGCCAAAGGAGGAGATGCCACCCGTGCAGCCCATCGCCGTCTCGCGGATGCCCTCACTGCTCATGGCGGTCAGTCTCTCTCATTGATTGCAATGGATGGATGGATGAATGAATGGATGGATGGATCATTGTGGGTCGGACTGACTCCATCGGTTGCTTGCTTGATTGCAGGTGTACATCTTCTCGGCTGTGTGTTTCATCGCGGCCCTGTACGGCCTCAGTCACCCCTCCACGGCCATGCACGGCAACATCGTCGGCATGGTCGGCATGGCGGCCGCAATCCTCGTCACCTTCACCGAGATCGGCTTCGGCGGCCAATACGTCCTCTTCTTCCTCCTGGCCCTGCCTGGCTTCGCGGGAGGCGTCTTGCTCTCCAGGCGCACACAGATGACCCAGACGCCACAGCTCATTGCCGGACTGCACGCCACCGTCGGCCTCGCGGCCATGCTCGTGGCCTTCGGCAACCTCCTTGGACCTGAACTCGACATCAAGACAGAACACCTCGCGTAAGTAAGCCTGTCCATCCATCAGACCATCGATGAGTGTCTGTGTTGACATTTCTTTCTGTCCGTCTGTCTGTCTGTCAGTCACAAGTTGGAGACCTACATTGGCGAGTTCATCGCGGCCGTGACGTTCGCTGGCAGTGTGGTGGCTTGCGGGAAGCTGACGGACCTGCTGCCCTCGGCCCCTCTGTCCTTCGGGCGGACAGCATTCCGCCACGCCACCAACGCCCTGATGCTGCTGCTCATCGCCGGGCTGGGCGTGGCCTTTGCGACGTCGGTGGACTTCGAGGTCAACCTGATGACGCTGGTGCTGAATGCGGTCTTCTCGGTCGTGTTTGGGTTTCTGCTGGTCATGGGCATTGGGGCCGCCGACATGCCTGTGGTCATCTCCATGCTCAACTCATACAGCGGATTCGCAATCGCCGCACTCGGATGGTAACTAACACACACAAAGACACAAAGACACAGAGAGGGAGGAGGGAGGGGGGAGAGACACACCACACACATGTCGACAGACATCAGAAATGTGTGTGGTGTGGTGTGTGGGGAACGAACAGGATGCTGGACAACAATCTGCTGATCATCACTGGGGCACTCATCGGATCGTCCGGCGCCATCCTCTCATACGTCATGTGCAAAAACATGAACCGGTCGGTCAGTGTGTGGCCCCTCTGACCACCACCCCACACACACATACACAACCAACACACATCTCTGTATGTCTGTGTGCATGTCTGTGTGTGTGTGTGTGCAGTTCGTTCATCAGTGTGATCGTGGGCGGCTTCGGTGCGGAGGGCGGAGCGGCCGACGTGGCGGCAGAGGGGATGGTGCTCGAGACGACAGCCAACGAGGTGGCCGAATTGCTCGTCGCCGCCGACGCCAAGCGCATCGTGATCGTGCCGGGCTACGGAATGGCGGCCGCACGCGCAGCAGCCACCGTCGGAGAGGTCAGTCAGTGTGCTGTGCACACCACGCCACCCACATGAGACAGACGCCCGCCATCCATCCATCCATCCATCCATCTGTGTGTGTCCATTTTTCCATCGATTTGTGATGTAGGTGTACGAGCTGTTGACTGCGCACGGCCTGGAGGTGTTGTTCGGCATCCACCCAGTGGCGGGCCGCATGCCGGGACAGATGAACGTGATACTGGCCGAGGCCGGCGTGCCCTACGAGGCCGTCAAGGAGATAGACGACATCAACGCCATACTCGCTGATTCACAAAACCCCGTCGACATCGCTCTCGGTCAGTCAGCGCGACCACACACACACACACATACACACACACATACACATCTGCTCGTGTATGTCTCTCTCTCTCTCTCTCTGTGCCTCGGCAGTGATTGGTGCCAACGACACGGTGAATCCGTCGGCCAAGGAGGCGGCGGGTCCCCTCGCCGGCATGCCCATCATCGACGTCCTCGAAGCCAAACGAGTCGTCGT